AGTTTTAGCTCTGAGGCAAATTGTTTCTTTGGTTTTGGAAATCAGGGAGGCAGACAATTGGCAAAGCAGCTGGTGAGCTGAGACTGCCACTGCTTATGCTAATTGCTGTTGTCTGCTTGTTAGCCCCCGCTCCCCCCATCTGTCTGCATCCACCTGCTGTCTTTTCATACCCTTTCGCTCGCAGTTGGAGCAGGGATCCCAGAGACTCCTCCTTGGCTGGACAAGCACCCTGCAACCGCAGGATCAGGCCCTGACTTTAGGTGCTGTCTCATGCTGCAAAGAAACAGGTGGTGTCCCCTTGTGCAAGGCCTGATGTGGTGGTGGTGGCCCTGAGCTTTGGTGGAGGCTGAGGGATGCTTACTGTAACCACACTAGCTGAGTGTGCCTGAAATTTAGTCCGTTTTTCTCAGGGCTTATGGAATATTGGCTCCGTGCTCTTGGCGTCGCAAGGCTCAGCAAAGATAATTTTAGACAGGAACAGAAAGTCTCTGTAAGCCTTACAGTCATAGCTGCTTCACTGGCAGAAACAAAGGCAGGAGAAGCCCGTTGCTGAAACATTCTGCTTAGTAGATGCACTGGAGTAAAAATTTAAAGGGAAATTTGGGGGGAGGAGGAGAACCTGAAGAGGTGATTTCCTGCAACTGCTGTGATGCTCCATTCCTTTTCTGAGGAGACAGTGCTATACAGCAGTCAGTGGGCAGGAACCAAGGGCCTGGAGCCTGGTCCAGAGCCCTGGCTTGTGGGGTGAGGCTGGGGAAGCTGTTTTTTGCCTTTACCGTAGTTTCCCCTTTGTGAAGCGTTAACGTCGTTGCTGCCTTCTCTATAATGCAACTTGAGATTTAGTGGCCATGGGAGCTGGATGTTTCTTCTAAACACGTGCTATTTTTGCAGTAATGAAAAAGCTGTCCTAAATTGGTAAAGACGAATGCCAGAATTCGTATTCTTTTTAATTTGCTCTCGACTTCCACAATGGCTGCAGGTTGCAATCCTTTTAATTTCCGTGCGGTAAAAACTCTGCAGGCTATGAACAACCAGCCCAAACTCTGACCCTGCTTGCTGCTGTAAAACCTGGCTAATTTTATCAGCCTCATCAGAACCATTCATGGATTGAGTGGGATGGGGAGAGCAGCCCCTTACCCCCCGGGGCGTTTTCACCACTAGAAAGATGAAAGAGGAAGTAACTCAGAAAGGCAGCTCAGGAATGGAACAGCCCCATGTTGATTGAAACATGCAAGAATGTCATCAAGCTACTCTCCTACCTGGTGTGTTTAATATTTTTTTTTCCTTTTTGTCTCTTTTCTTTGCTTTTGTTGCCACTGAAGTGCCTGTCCAAAGTGCTTTGTATGATGAGAATGAAACGCATCCTGCCCCAGAATCAGCTTAAGGACTAGCCACTGCTCAGCTCTCACTGAAATCCTCAAAATAGGCATTGAGCAAAACTTACAATGATGTGTTGATTTCATTGATGTGTTGATTTCCCTGCCTACACGGGAGTTGGATCTTAAATCCCCCCTCAGTCTGACACGGGAGGCTCACATTGAGCACACTGGGGCCTTGAACTCCTCTGAACCAGCAGGTAAAGCTGTAAGCAGCATCTCTGGCTGTGTTACCCGAATGCTTTGCAGCGTTTAGTGTGGTTACACTTCCTGAGCTGTTGCTGTAAAACCGGGCTGTGTGTGCAACCCCCTTTTATAGAGGGGAAGGGCTGAGCTGAGAGAGGCTGCGTGACTCTCCCAGCCTGGGGTAGGAAATCTGTGGTAAGTCTGATGAAGCCTTCATGGCCTTTACAGGGCAACACCCTAACCTTTAGGCCATCTCTTCTCTGCGCATGTAAGATGATAATGCTGCTGCATTGAATATGGCATGGCTGCACGATTTTCTTAGAGAATAAGCACTTGTGGCTTGTGTGGGCTTTGTTCCAGGTGTGGAGGTGGTTGCTGCTGAGATCTATCTGCGATGCCATTAACGATTTTTTTTATTTCCTGACTAAATTAACTCCACTCCTCTCACACTGCGACCCAGACAGAAGGTTGTTGTAGCAGGTTGGTTTTTTTTTTTTTTTTTTTTTTTTTAGATATGTTAAAGTGTTTCCTGGTTTTTGTAACCGATTCTAAAATTATTTCTATGTTTTTCTCATAGCTTAAATTTCGTATCACAGTTGGATCATGTTCCATATTTAACACAATCATTGATGAATGTATCAATGAAAAAGTACTTTCAGAACATGTCATGGCATTCAGGATTACTTGAACTTTATTATATGTAGGCTATACTTTGTATGGAGGATTTGTCTGCAAGCTACATCTTTTTTCAGAACTTCAAGTGTTTTAGTTGACAATTCTTGCCAGAATTTCGGCTGGAGGGTTTTTTTTTTTTTTTTTTTTTTTTTTTTAGATAGGATTTGAACTTAGCTGCAGCAGAATAAGGAACTTCTTGGTGGTGTGTTGCTCCTGCAGGAGGGCTTTTTCTAGCTTGGGAACCGCAAGCCTGTTTGTTGGGACTGTGACCACTTGCTGAACGTGTCTAGGCTTAGCTCTCAGGAACGGAGCTTGGATCCTGTACCTGGGGTGGTTAAAACTGGGGGTTCGTTATAAGGAGGGTAAGATTAGATGGTGTGTGAATTAGCCCTACCACACGTATGGCCAATCGTGCAAGGGGCTGTACAGGCACAGACTGAAAAATCCCCACCCTAATCTGCTTGCTGTCTGACCATGACATAAGAAACGCAGGCGATAATGAAAAAGAAAGCAAGGAGACCATATTAGTCAGCACGACGGTGCTCGTCAACAGCAGCCTGATAGCTGCTGTGGATTTGCTAGAAGGTTGAGAAAGCCCCTTCAAAACTGTCCAAAGATAGCGAAGTAGCGCTGAATGGGATTTTTTTGGGAATACGGTGGTGTACGAGGGGGTTGCTCTGAGAATTTAGAGGTTTGAGTTGCAGGCAGGTATGGAGAGGTAAGCACTCATTTCCCAAGCACAGCACACTGGCCCCGTGACACTGGTGTGGCCACAGAGCTGTGGTCTAAGAGCTGGGAGAGCTGGCTGTGCCAGCAGCAGGATGTGTGCTCGCTTAAATTTTTTGCCTTCCAGTGTATCAGGTAGTCTAAAACAGGGTGCTGCTTTCCTGGTGAACCTGCCATACACTTAGACAAGACTCCTACTGCTTCTGCCCTTGGACTGTTCAAGGTGAGGTGGAGTAGGAGGATATCGCAGGGAGACAAACTGGAAAAGAGGAGGGTCTCAGTGTGTTTCCTGCAAGCATGCAGGTAGACAGCACTCAGGCATGGACGGGAACCTCTGACAGTGTCCTTGACCTCTCTCCTGTCTGCATTGTGGGTGCGATCACAGCAGGATGTGGTCTTTATGCGTAGATCACATCCTGCTGTGAGATCGCACACAGGATCACAGTGTAGATCAAGAACGGGGTGAAGAGTGGCTTGATAGCTCTAGCTCTGCTAGCCATCCGGGCTGATAGCAGGGCCACAGCGAGCTATATATTGTTGTTGAGGTTGGTCTTGTCCAAGGAAGTTGCTGTAGGGAAGTCTCTGCTGACAAATAAGGTAGTGTGAGTGGAGCAGCCCTTTCCCACCACTCCTCTTTAGATCTGTTCTGCGCCTGGAGCTGTGGTGGTCATCCATGCATGGTGTACTGGCTCTCCTCTGGCACACTGCTTAGAGAAAGGCTAGCTGCTCTGGTGGGACAAACCAGCTTGGTGGGCCCATGCGTTTCCATGTCTGTCTTAGCAGCCAGTGGTGTCTTTCTCAGCCGTTGCATTGCTTGAGAAGCACAGCTCAGACCTCTTGACGGGTAGTGACACAACAAGCTGAACGTGGGTGCTGGCAAGGAGTGTGACTTGCAGCTGCATTTCTGAAGGAGGCCAGGAAGCACAGGTTGCCAGTCAATAGTGTATGGGATGAACTTGGCCTGCCGGAGCAACTTCTTCTTTGTGCAGGCTACCCTGCAATCCTTCCCCAGGGCTCTGACTTGAATGTAACCAAAACACAACTCTTGGATGGTGATCCCACCATCACAGAAGTCTTTCTCCCAACATATGATGCTTTGCTCTCATAGTGCTCAAAAAGGTACTTCTGACCTCCGCTCCAGCTCTGGAGGTGGTTGATTTACTCTCCTCTCCTGGTTCTCGAGTCTCTTGGTCCCAGATTCAAGGTAGAGGTGGCCCTGCAGCCCTGAGATGTCCTGCTGGGGAGGCTGGGCCCTGAAGCAAAGCAAGGCTGGTGTTTCTCTCTCCCTGCAATTTTGAGGACAGTCAGTGTCCATCACAGGCAGCTGGAGTGGGAGAGCGCGGGGCTGTTGTCCTCTGCCAGGCCAGCTGCCTGCTGGTGACTGAAGGGGCAGGGCACCATCTGGTGGCATGAAAGGAATTTGTCCACACGTCTGTCAGAGAGCAGTCCTGGCTTTCTCAGCCAGATACAAACTAGTAGTTTCCAACTTTTTCCCCCTGCTTTCCGCGCCCCCTCCCCCCCCTTCCGCAGCGTTAAGCCCCTCTGTGGCTTTCCCTACACCTCCCTGATGTGCTTTTTTCTCCCCAGCTGCTGTGATGACCTCTTGCAGAGAGGCTTAAGATGACAAACTTGGCCAGCTCCAGGTCGTTCCTGGAGCATAACAAAGTATCTCAGTCTGGGAAGGAGCGTTACAGAGCTGCAGAGGGCATTGCCCAAGGACAGGCTCTGGTAGGGCCTGAGATGTGACAGCGCTGTCCCTTTAGAGCTCCTCTAGGTTAGATCAGAGGTCTGTCTAGCCTAGTATCCTCTTCCTGACAGCAGATGTCTAGGGAAAGACAAACAAAGGCAGTGAGCTGGCAGCAGGAGATCAGCTAGATGGTCTGCCAGCCTCCAATGTGCAGGCAGGAACATTGTGAGTTTGACATCTTGCCTCTATTTTGAATAACCTTCTGTCATTTCATCCTTCCTGCTTTTGAGTCGTCACCATTTGAACCCATAAAGGTTCCTAGTGTTCACCACACCTTGTGGAGGGGCGGCTGGGAAGGAGGCTTCTGCCCTGGGCCAGGAGGTGGGAACAGCTGTCCGAGGTTGTATGGGCATTGTTCATCTCATGCTGGGGCTTGTGGCTCAGAGTACATGCCAGAAAGGATTGGTGACATGTCACTGCTGTCTCTCTTTTCCAGGTCCCTTGGAAAGACCAGATAAGCCAGATGTGCCCAGATTGTGGATCTGTTAATCTTCAAGCAGAGAGGAGCGGTGGCACACAGCTGAGAACCAGGTGTCAAGGTGGGCCTTAAGGAACAAGCCTTGTACGTGAGCTGTCTGTATGAGATGGGGTGGTTTGGCTCCTTCAGATCCCCTGAGACTCCTGAACTGTTTGAGGGCTACTGGACACTTGAGCTTGACTGTTCCCTAAAAAAGCAGTGCCAAAAATCAGGTACAGAAGAGCGGAGGCCCGTTGTTTTGTGAAAATCATGGCAGTCCGAGCTCTTTCTCATTCAAATCCTGTTTTTTGGCAGGGTCTTGCTTCTGTTTTGGTGTCTCCTGAAACCTGGATATTGAGGATTGAGGTGTTTGTACCCTCGGCTGTCAGGTTAGACAGTTGCTGGTGTTTCTCCAAGCAGACCAAATTTCATGTACTTCCCTTTCATTTTGCTGTTGGCTTCCCATAGAATTATTTAGGTTGAAAAAGGGCCACAAAGATGATCAGAGGGCTGGAGCATCTCTTGTATGAAGACAGGCTGAGAGAGTTGGGGTTCTTCAGCCTGGAGAAGGCTCCAGGGAGACTTTTTAGCAGTCTTCCAGTGCATAAAGGGGGCCTACAGAAAAGGTGGGGAAGGACTCTATTAGGGAGTGTAGCAATAGGATGAAGGGTAATGGTTTTAAACTGAAAGAGGAGATTTAGATTAGATATTAGGAAGAAATTCTTTCCCATGAGGGTGGTGAGACCCTAGAACAGGTTTCCCAGAGAAGCTGTGGATGCCCCATCCCTGGAGGGGTTCAAGGCCAGGCTGGATGGGGCTTGGAGCAACCTGGTCTGGTGGGAGGTGTCCCTGCCCATGGCAGGAGGTTGGATCTGGATGCTCTTTAAGGTCCCTTCCAACCCAAACCATTCTCTGATTCTGTAAGACCTTTAAGATCATCAGGTCCAACCATTAACACTGCCAAGTCCACCACAAAACTATGTCCCTAAGTGCCACATCCATATGTCTTTTAAAGAACTCCAGGGATGGTGACTCAACCACTTCCATGGGCAGCCTGTTCCAATGTTTGATAACCTTTTCAGTGAAGAAATTTTTCCCAATATCCATCCTAAACCTCCCCTGGCACAACTTGAGGCCGTTTCCTTTTATCCTATTGCTTGTTACTTGACAGAAGAGTCCGTCCCCCACCTTGCAGCAACCTCCTTTCAGGCAGTTGTAGAAAGCGGTAAGGTCTGCCCTGAGAGACCTCCCATGAGACATCCCATCAGCTTCCCTCTTCCCTCACTAGTGTCTTAGATTCCTGGAGCAGTGCTGTCCCCTGTTTTCTTTGGACTGGAGTCACAATAGCCCCTAGAAAATAGTCATCTGGCTCGTTTCTGTTGCTTTTGTCATGTAACCAAATGCAGGTACCTCCTGGCCCCTGTGAAGGTGCGTCCCAGCACAGCTTGCCTGCCTGGGGTGGAGAAAGGGCTGCAGAACTGTGAGGAGCAGGCAGTGAGCTAGGAGTTGTGCCAGGCTCTGAAACGGGTGTCATTTGAGCTGACTTCTTACCTCTCTTTGTATTTTATTTAGGTATTTTTCAGCTAATCAATTTAAATCTGAGAGGCACAGGGTAACAACCTGAACATCTTGTTTAGTGTTCAGGTCTGACTGTTCTCAATGCTCTATGAGAGGGCAGCACAGGACTGTTTTTTGGTTACCTTTGTGCCTTCCACGTAAGCAGGGGAAAGTAGTGGAGCCACTGAAAGGCCACCTTTGCAGATTCACATTTTGCCACCAGAGAGCTCCCATCCTTCACACCAGTCCAAGGGTGAGGAAATAATGGCCAACATGACAAGAAAGTCCCTCAGTCTCCACTGTATCCCAGCTTTCATTGTAAGAGCCAGACTCTGTGATGCTTGTTCTACCTTAAAAAAAAAAAAACAACTTATTCTTTTAGTGCTTGGTAGAGTTTTGCCCCTCCATTGCAGGCTTCTTATAGTGCTTGGCAGAGTTTTGCCCCTCCATTGCAGGCTTCTTATGAAAGGGGGAATGTTGTGGCTGGCTAATCCAAGAAAACACAGTGAGCAGGTGAAAATCTGGTGCCAGCAATACAGTTTTTCTGTCTTTGGTGGTTTGGACAGTCTTGCTGATGGAACAGCAGGGCTTGAGAGGGTCTGCCTGAAGCACTAGCCTTGCTGCTAGTAGCCCTACAGAAGAACGTGGCACTTCTGCTTGTGTCTGTAACTTACAGTTCTAGAAACAGTTTTGGCACATGCAGTAGGTTTAGTTTTGTACTAATTTGAGTTTGTAATCACTAGTGATATCACTTTTCCTGTTTAATTACAGGGCTGAAGCATTAACTCCCCCGAACAACGTAATTCTGGCCTTTCCCATCCACTTTCCTTCCTTCCAGTAACTGGCTCCTTTTCCCGCTCTTACCTGGCACTTCCACACATATATTCTGTCCTCCCACGTTTCTGCTTTGCTGAGGAGACAAGTCTTCCACACTTGGAGGAAAAGATGGGTCATTGGTTTAGTTCATTGAATATGTGAAACTGAAAACTGAAAAATCAGTCTCGGATGAGCAGTCTGAATGTTACGGTGATTTGAGAATAATGATTATGCTCCCTTTTTTGGAGGCTGATGTGACGTCTGGCCTTCCTTTGGCAGCTCTCCCCGCTTCTTACCCATGCGGAGAGCCTGAGGAAGCCCTGGCTCACCTGGAGCCTGTGAGACATCAGCCAAGAAGCAGTTCTTCCCTTTGTGGCCACCCCATGGCATCTTGGCAGAGACGAATCTGCAAACTTAAATAGTCTCAGCTCCCAGCTCCAGCAGAGATTGAAGGGCCCATCCTTGCAACTGCTCTTAATTTGCTCAATCTGCTGTATTTTTGTTTAGACACCCCTTCTCTGTGGTGCCCTATACCTAACAGAAATCCTAAAGGAACTGAGGGTTGGGGAGCATAAGTCACTAGAGGTAAAAAGTATCACAACTCATCAGACTTAGTGTCTCTTGTCCTGCTTCAGAGCCACTTCAACAAAGGACCTAGCTGCCAGCAGTACCTAAAGTCCATACCTCAAAAAAGTAGCAGTAAGCCTGATATTTAAAAAACCCCTTACTTCTAAAGCCTCAGACCAGTGGGTGTCAGCTGTGTGACTGTGCCCCAAAGGTTGGCTGCTTCCTCTCCTCGCCTTGTTGCCGGGGAATGATGAGTGAGGGCCACGCTTGGCTGTAGATGTGGCCAAGAGGCAATCCTGTTAAAAGCCAGGGTGCTCTCTTGGGGAAGAGGGTGTAGAATCATCAGACTCCCTCCTTCCTGAAGCAACACTTTGTGCTCGGTGTTGTGAGAGTTTGTATTGCAATTTATTGTGTTCTGAAAAGGGTCTGGTGGAGACCTAGGCTTGTTTTTCCCTGCGTGTCTTACTTCTTTCTTGGAGTCCTGTGCGTAGGTGGGTTCCCTGCAGGTTTCATTATGCTGAGCACTGACGTGCAGTCACAGGATAGAGGAAATAGGTCCACTTTCTTGGAGTCCTGCGGGGTAGGTAGGTTCCCTGCAGGTTTCATGATGCTGAGCACTGACGTGCAGTCACAGGATAACTTCTTTCTTGGAGTCCTGTGCGTAGGTGGGTTCCCTGCAGGTTTCATTATGCTGAGCACTGACGTGCAGTCACAGGATAGAGGAAATAGGTCCATAGGTAAAGATAAAAACCCATGTTAGTCTAGAAAGCATGATCTTCAAGGGAAGATGGAGGGAATTGGAGGGTTGCTTAGTTTGAGGAGGAAAGGACTTAAGAGGTTATAGCAATCTCCAAACATATGTGAGGTCAGCTGCCAAAGAGTAATGGGTTCTTTGTGTTCATGCTAGCTAATGACACGCTGTATTAGTCTTAGATCATAGCAAGGGACATGAGCATTTGGGATCAGAAAAATGTTTCCAAGGATCATAGCAAGGGACATCAGCATTTGGGATCAGAAAAATGTTTCCAAGGGTGAGGATAGCAAACCAGTGAACTAGATTACTCAGGAAAGAAATAAATGTCCTTTCTTGCAGGTTCTTGAAAAGCAGCATCAAGAACAGTACATCTTCCATCCGTGTCCTCAGCTGCTCTGTCAGAGCAAAGGACCTCCACAGGAAAAGTTTCTGCAGCACAGAGAGAGAAGAGTGGAAACACACCTCCAGTGACCCTCCTGGCAGGTCCCCCTCTTCTTACACCTAGGATCTGCAAAGGCTGTGTGCCGTATCTGTTGGAATCTGAGTCACATAGTGCCAGGGAAGAACAGAAGGAAGTCCTTCAAAATCCAGGTGGTTACCAGGATAATAAATTTTACCACAGGAAACTCAGGACACATCTCTGGCGCTTTTCAGTCCAACGTGGCTTCCTTCCAACCCTGGCTGGAGTTGGCAGTCCAGAAACATTATTCTAGCCTGGGGACACAAGCCTGTTCTCTGGTCATGACCAGCTCTGGCTGCACTGGCCAGTAGCATCATGCAAGACTGCCCCAAGCTGGACAGAGAAGCTTGTGGCAGTCCTAAGTACAGATCTGTCATGTATTGTCCCCGTTTGCAACAGGAGACTGCAGCAGCTCTGGGTAGTTTGCAAGAGGCCCTTGGGGGCATTGGTTTCGTTCTTGAGAGTGCTGGGTTAGGCAGAGTTGCCAAGGAGAGCCAGAAGCTTGTGCTCCCTGACACACACAGTGAGCTCCTTCTTGCTGAGAAGCAAACTAGCAGAAGTGAAGAGCCGGCCTGGAGATGGAGATCTCATCCCCAAAACCAGTCTCCCTCCTGCTGAGTTCCCTGCTCTGGGTGCAGAGCCTGATTCTCACTCCAGTGCTCAGGGATTTTCAGTGGGGTGTGAATTAATGCCACATGAAGTGTCCTGTCTTTCTCCTGAGCAGTGAAATAGGATCTTTAGCGTGAGTGAGAATTGGCTCCAACGATGCAGCAGCTGCAAAGTGAGTTCCCCTTTTAGCTGAAATAGGTTGCATTTTGACTAGTGCATTTTTTTTGCTATCCATATTTGCACTAGGAACTTATATCTAAAGAATGTGTATCTTCAGTGATCATCGGAACAGCTTCTTGGCCTGGAGGAATCCTGCTTTTCTAACAGAGCTCCAACACAACTCTGTCAGCACCAAAAACCTGGATGGAGATAGGTGTCCTGGAAGGCTCTCTGACCTGTAAGGGTGCTTCAAAGCAGCGAGACACTTGCAGTTGTAAACCTGGTGCATGTTTCAAAAGGTAGGATGGGTATGGGGGCTTACATATTGGAAGATCAGCGTGTGCTAGCGTGCATCTTTGTGTGAATATCCACAGGCAAAAAAGAGCCAAGGCTCTTCTAGAGTGGGAGAACTTGCTTCATCATTTATTTACATGCTCCAACACTTGCATTTTCATGAGGCTTAGATATTTCATGTATTTGCCAGAACAAACAGAGCACAGGACTCTTCTGAGCTGTTGATGAAATCATTGAGGGCTCTCTGTCTACTTGTGATTTTCTACTTCCTTAGCTTTACTTTGAGATGGGAACATAAAATCTGGCACTCACAGGCACCATGTGGATTTGTGATGGTCTTGGGAGCACTGCTTCTCCATAAAACAATGTCTTGATCACATCCAAGCACAGATGTTGTTTGTTTGTCTGTGACAGGTGTAGCATCAAGGATATTTGCTTGAGCCATCCAAGTCATGCTTAAATGGAAATTCTTTAAAGAAGTTACAAATAGTTCATTTTAGTACACTGGTTCAGTAAACACTGCAGTGAACTCTTGGGAGGAGAGGCTGAATTATATATAAATGAGAGAGATATGTATGGAGGGGAAATGGACAGCTTTTTTAATGACATATTACAGTGGTTACCAAGCCTTATGGTTTTTGTCAGCCATCTATGGATGTTGTATGTTTTTTTTTTTTTCCTTAAAATTCCAGCTGCTGGAAGGAAGATATTGCATAAGAGTCTTTGTTTTCTCATTTTAAAAAAGTTAAGTTTCTAACCATTGTGGTTGCTTAGAAAAACATGAAAGCATGAGCTGAGTGTTCCAGATATGATGTTGAAATCAAAACCAAACACAATGGAAAACTTGGTTCACAGCTTAAAAATCCAGACGGCAAATAAACAGCCTTAGATTGGCTTAGAAATTCTGCAGTTTGGAAATGCATCAATATCTGACTTCTGGGACCTGACTGCTGGCGTAAGGGCACATGTGATTTTGGAATTGGAGTGTAGTCTCTTTTTGGTTAGACAACACTGAATTTTATAAAATGTAAATATTTCTTTAAAATAAAATATTTTTTTAATATTTCTCTGGTGAGAACACATCTTTTTCAAAACTTTCTTGAGCATTGCTTGGGTGTTATTTTGTCTCTTTTGTTTCTCAACTCATTTTGTTTGGAGTTGAGAATTTCATCGTGAATCTCTTTTGGTTCATGCTTCTTTCCCTCTTGACTTTAATGTTTCTGTCTGGAGATTTTATTTTGGTTGAGTTTTGATGTTTACCACAGATTTGGTGTCTTCTTCCTTTCCTTATTTTGGCTTCTTCATCCTATTCTTTGCTTTCCAGCTTTGTTTGGAGCTGGTGCTGGGGAATTCCACCTTGGGTGGTGGGTGATGTTGCACCCAGATACTGCCTTTTATCGGCTGAGCATGTGATGTTTCTGAGTGGCTCAGCACAGCCACTCAGTGTCACATTGGAGCTCATCTTCTCATGACTAGGGAAGTTGTTGGCTTGTTTCATTTTTTTTTCCAGAGGAGATGACTGAATTTTTGGTGAAAGACATGCACAGTGCAGGAATTCATGGAGAGGCAATTTCAGTTCTCCAAGCAGAATTGGTCCTGAGGGTCTGTAGTGGCAAACTTTGTGGCCACTTCAGTGCTGGTGAAGCTGTTGGGTGGTGTGAGAAAAGCTGGAGGATGAAAAACAAGAGATCCTTTTCTCTCCTATTCCCTACTTGTGTGGCATGGCAGTGATGATTGTGTGTCTTCATGCTTCAGGCCAGGTTGTTCTTGTGCTCCGCTCCTGGAGCTAACGGGCAAATCCAAGCTCAGATGCTGGCTTGGCCCAGACTGTGGTGCTTGCTGAAAGTTGGAAGATGGAGGTCTAAACACACTTGCTGTGGGCCTAAGATCTTGCTCTTAGGAGCTGGCTGGATTGGGCACAGTCCCATGCACAGCAGCCAGCCTGAGCTTAGTCCTTCCAGTAGGAATGTTTAGGGTTCAAGCCAGCAGGCAGCAATGAGAACAGGAACCCTGTTGTATCCCAGGCCTTGACCCTGCCCTGTGTCTTGCAGAAGAGTCCTGTTTTCTGACCTGACTCCAGGTTTAGGTCATGAACTGTATTCTGTATTTGCAGAATGAAAATAAAGGGTGTGCAAAGCCCTGGTTATTGGAGCCCCAAGGAGCAGCAGCGGGATGAGTATGACCTACATGGGAAGCTCAGGAGTATGTGTTAGGGAAGCCCTGGTCCAGGGAAGGTGAGGAACCAGCTTACAGCACTGTCCAAGGCTGACAGCTTATCTGAAGAGGATCCTGAAGGACATGGGAAAGCTGTGGATGCATGAATGAAAGAGAGGTGTGATGGTGTGTTATATAAATTAGTATATCTCTGCATAGCCCAGCTGCAGATGAAATAGTTTCTTTGGAGCCAGCACAGCTAGTGACTCTTTTCCAGAGACCGTCATCCTGCTCTTAACCTGTCCTGGACTGTTTTGGAAAGGATAAGGTTTCTCTCCTAGATTGTGGGAGGCAGGCTGCTTCCCGTGCGTCTGCATTTAGGGAAGAAACCCCGGGTGCTTCCACACAGTATTGAACCCTGCAACAATCCTTGCAGACTGCCATCTCTCAGCTTCTCCTGCTCCCAACATTTAGGATCATTTCTTCCTTGGGGGAATTTCACCTAGGTGAGATGATGTTTTTAGACCTGGACCGCCCAGTGATTAGGATGAGGCAAAGTACTATCCCTGGCATGAGTTTGCTCTTCCAGAAGTCTTCTGTTATTTTATTAAGGTTAGAAATCCGCATTAGAAGATCTGCAGCTCTGAGCATCATATGTATGAGATAGAAATGTCTTAACCATAGGCAGGCTTGCTAGAGCTTATTTGTTAGAGTCTTTGTCTCAGAGCTTAAGCATTTGTATCTATCACCCTGTAGTAGGCCCATGGCTGTCCAGGGCTTCGAGGCTATGTGGGTAATTAATAGTTAAGCTTCTATATTCCATCTAATTTAGGCCTTTCACAGCATTATTCACCTCAGATGGCCCCTTATGTGCTGGGTGCAAGGCAAAGGCCTATCCATGCATTAAACAACGTATACGACAGGCTGCCAGAAGGTAGGGGCATTTTAGACCAACAAAGAGAGGTGCCTCCAAGGTTCAGATGCCATAGGCTGGACAGGACCCTGAGTAACCTCATCAAGCTGGATGTGCTTTGAGCGTTGAGCTGGACTTGGTGACCTCCAGAAATCTCTTCCAACCTATATTACTCTGTGATAAATTCAGCAGCCCGATATTGCAGAGGGCTTGCTGGAAACCAGCTTGGAAATCTGCTGTAACAAAACCAGTCCATCTGGTAACAGACCCTGCATCCTGCCACTGAGTGAGGCTGCAGCATGCCCTAAGGTGGGCTGAGCTATCCCAGCTCGAATAAATAAAAGCAAGAGTGGCATAGCTGGGCAGAGAGGGAAGTGGGGAGCGGCATTCCTTTGAGCCACACATCAGTTCATGCCTCTTAGCACGGACTGACTTATCTGTGTTTGCCAGCCTTTAATTAAGTGGTGTGTACGCAAATTTCAGAGGAAGCTGTTGGATGGCATGTAGTGATTAAAAGCACTTGAGTGGGCAGAGAGAGATATGTAAAGTTAGAGGTGGCATGGCCAGGTCTGTGAAGATACAGCACTGCTGGTCTCAAGAGCAACTGGTTACCCACTTCTCAAAACACTCATTTCTGAACTGCTACTTAAAATTCCTCAATGAGGACTTTGCAGAAAGCATGACCTTAGAAGGGGGGCTGGTGGGACTTGGCATGCTTGCTGGAGCAAGATGCAGTAGCAGAAAGAGTGAAAAATTCCAATTTTTATTTTTCTTTACAGGCTTTCTCAGCCTCTCCTCAAACTCTGAAGCATGTGGGAGTTTGACCATCAGAGCCCAAATCCGTGAGCCACGGTAGATCTGAAAGAAATGGTTTCTGACAGATCTGATGCTTTCAGTGCTTATTTCTCCTTCCTTCTCCTTGCCCAGCTGGGATGTTGTTGCAAGGTGTCTGTGATGTTTCACAGCAGTGTTTTTGATATTTGTCAGTAATGTCTGTGCCTGGTTGCTGGGTTTGTTTGGGAGCAACTTGCTGGAATACTCTTACCTGAGAAACGTCTCCTGCGGTTTATTTGTTCTCTGCAAGGAGTTTGGTTTTTCCTTTTCTTTTAAAACCAGGCTTGGTTGTGTAAAGCATGCAGAAAATCTGTATTTTGGCCACGGTCTGTAATATTTTACTTGAAATTGGCCAATCCTGTAAATATTCTTGCCAATAAAGTTGAGAGAATCAACAGAGAGCGAGCAAAGCTCTGTCATGTGGTATAGTAATAAACTTTTTCAGCATTGGTATATAAGGGATCTACTAAAATGTCTAGTGTCTTGTTAGAATATGGGTAGGACAGAACAGATAAAATACAGTGGTGGAAGAGGCCCTGAGTGTCCATTTTGTCTATTTCCCTGTCTACATGCAGGGAAAAACTTCATCACAGCTCTTTGTCTCTCTGGTGGTGTGGAGCCTGTCCCCTCTCCTAGCAAACTGCTCCACATCCCAACAGAATAAACTGGATGTGCCTATTCCTGTGGTGTTTGTAGGGAATCTGGATCTGTTTGTTTCATTGCATGCTGAAAGGCACGAATTCATTCCAGGATAAACTGAGCGTGCATCTGGTTTATTTGTGTGCATGTTTGTGCTTCAAACCCTTGCTTGAGTGATTGCCTTCATGCCTCTGCCATCGCCGCCTCTGCGTTCCCAGAATTTTTCAGTTGGTGAGTGATTGTTCTTTGGGGCACTACATCTCTGTCCTAATGAGCTGGGGGAAAGTTTGTCTGACCTGGGAATGCGATAAGAACCCGCAGGATATTTTTGGAGAGTTACCCAATGGTTTGGCGGGGTGTTTTTACTGCAAAGATGCTCAGGTGAAAAGTCATCATTCCTAGTATAATACTGGGAAAATTTACATTTTTATGTCCCCATTCCTTGCTTGGATTGTTTTTGTATTG